GTTAAAGAGACCTTCAGATTTGAGGACAAGGACGACTACGATGACGAGATTTGACTTCAAGTTTTTTTCGCGTATTCTCGAAATATAGACTTCCCGGAAAGCTTCATTTTACCATAAAAAAAAGTTAGCACTGTTATCTTTTAGTGAAGGAGGTTACGCGCTTCCCGATCAATGACTACGGCTACCACATTTTCCCGCCAAATGTCGTTGGTTCACGTGCGAGCACCACGTAGTATAGAGAAAATCTCGTACTCGTACTCGTCAAGGTTGCGATCGAGAATTCATATTTAGCACCTAGGCTCTAGGTTAGCATGCGTGCTTTTTAATGATTTTTGTTGGTGAATGTCTACTTCGAAATTTGAATTTAAATTGATTAATGCAAAAATAATTCATGGAATTTTTAAGTGAGGCTTAGTATCATGCCGAATTCACACAAAGAGTAATGAATTAAGATATAAAAATAAATCTATTACTGAAGTCGATCGCCTGTTGAAGTTCTTGACTTCCAGTGAGGGTTTACGGACATGAGAATACAATTATATTTTTTGTGGAATCTGTTCTAACACGTCAAGTTAACACACAGCCTGCTGGCTACCCATTAAAAACAGGTAAGTTACCCCAAAAGAGCGCTAAATTATTATTCGCTTATAATATTTGCCTTACCTAGCTTTGACCGATGGTTTTAAGATGCCACTTTCAGAATTTCTTTTAAAATCTTCATTTCTTCTATCTATTGAATCTTTGCAGAAAGAACAGGTTATAGGCTGTTCGGCTCGTTTTCTGGGGTTTTACGAAAAAGGCCTTCTCTGTAAATAAAGTATCTCCAAACCAAATTTAACCCCGTCAATTTTAAGTCACAGAGCAGTTACTGGACAAACTGAACCAAGTCAAGGTTTTCGAATGCAACATTTTGATAGTATTCTGTCGACATAAATACGACTTATGAAAGGAAGGCAAAATTTTATCAAAATGGAGTAAAGTATTCATACTGCATCGATATATAAAGAATACACTGACATACGCACACTGGCAAGGTGCAAAAGTAAACAAAGGGAATGTCTTACACCAGTGGCCTACGGTTTCGCAAATGGAAATATTTAATGTATAGTGAGGGTAAACGCGTGGCGTGTAGAGTCTGGACATAGGTAGTCACCGAAACGACGTTGAGATTCACATCAACAACAACAACAAGGCAGTAAATCACCTTTGGAAACACGAAAAAACCTTCACTTTATTTGAGTCTTAGGCCCGGTTCAGACGCCGAACTTTTCATGAGCCGAACCTAATACATTAAATTAAGTACAGTGAAAAGTTCGGCGTCTGAATCAATTAGGAACGCCTGTTTCAATTTGGATCCGCTCAGCCGTTCTTTTCGCCTAGCCTGGCCGGAAATTTCGCCTTTGGAGCGACTTTGGAACGGCTTTGATTCAGACGCCGAACTTTTCATGTACCTAACTTAATGCATAAATTATTATAACTCATTTTCTAAGCAGTTTGACCGCAATGGGCATTTTTCTCCCTCTGAATTTAGTTCGGCTGAAATTAAGATCGGCGTCTAAATCAATTTAGCCGGTCCAAATAATTTGGGTCGGTCTTTAAATTTGAATTAGGTTCGGCTCATGAAAAGTACGGCGTCTGAACCGTGCCTTAATGTATTCAGCACGAAAGTACTACTTCAAGACTCTGGTTGTTTAGCTTTTACATACTGGGCAAACAGGTTGGTTCACGGTTTGGGCAAATGGTGAGCAAAATTCAGGAAAGGTGAATTTCGTCGCGAACTCGAGTTTACCATTTGTACAAATCAGTTTCATTTACCGAAAAACGGCTGCGAAGGCGTGAAACTGGTATCAAAGATGGCTTTGAAGTAAATGGAACACGAATTTCCGTTTGGAACATTCTGTCCTGAAAAAACAGGACTGCCTTTTCAGAAGTTCCGTTGCTCCCGGAAAATTTCTACTGGAATGACCCAAACGGTCTTGTTCCCTTTATTTTGCAACCAGATTTTCTGGAAATTTCTTTGTAAATGGTAAACAACCATTTCTCATTTCTTTTGGGGACGAGATCCTCCATGGTCATCCGAGCCGCGCGAAGGTCTAGCCATTTGCAGGGCAAAAGCACTCACTTAGGGCGCTTTCCATTTGTCAGAACTGACCGGCAAGACCATTCCCGTCGCAATGGGAATTTCCCTTTTAATCAAAACTCTCCAGCCAGATCTATCAAATCCTAAATAGTATGCACCAAAGAGATGACTTTTCAGCAAAAAAACTTGGAAAAAGTCTATTTCATTTTCAAACTGACTTGTCGGGCTATGGTCCGGCCAGCCAGTTCTGATAAATGGAAGGCGCCCTTAATTTCTCAGTTATTTCAAGACCCTGATTATTATTGGTCCGGCCCCGGGAATCGAACCCGCGACCTCCCACTTTTCAGTTAAGTACTCTAACTGACTAAGCTAGTCGTCCCTTCGGTCTTTTCTTGGAACAAGACAGAAGTTTATGATAGTTGACAGTAGAGCATTTTGACGAAAGGAAGTTGGTCAGAAGCGATTGTCAAAAAACTTAACGATTTATATGGCCCACACGGGAAACGGAAAAACGTAAAGAAACAAATCGCCTTATCTTAAACTTATTGCATAGAAAAGGAACAAAGTAAACTAACTTATGCAATATTTTGTGTTTTTGATGTCTTTTTCAAGCGACCTTGGCTGATTTTGCGATCAGAAGAGGATTTTCTTTTATCAAGACAGGATCGTAACACAGAGAGCCGAGATTTCGCCGCTCTCTCAGGTCAGACCCGAGAAGAGACTTTTCCGAGGAGGAGCGCGGGCTCGCTTCCCGAACAGCGGCTGGTAATCGAGCCTAAAACCGACCGCTTCAAAAAGGAAAAAGAAAATATGACACAAATTAGTTTCCTTTATTCCTTTTCTTCATAATAAGCTAGGATAAGCCAGTAAGACTGATTTTGTATTAAATTTTAACGTTTCCCATAAGACCATGACCAGTTGCGTTACGCCGAACGTTATTAGATGTAGTGAGTTTGGGGACGCTCGTGATGTTGATAAGTCGTCGTGTGGCGCAGTATAACTTAATCAAGGGCAAGAGAAACAGGGCTGCACTTCTTATAACTTTTCTAATTTAGATCATTTGAGGCTATGCCTGCACAAGTCCGCTAAAACGTATAAACACATAGTACAAACTGTTGCGTTTACGCATTCCGTCCACTAACGATGGAACGCAATAATCAGGACGAGAGCTCGTGGTGAAACTGTAATGACATTTCTGTTAGAAATCATGCATTGGGCGCATAACCTACAGATTAGTCATCTGCTAACAGATAACTAACTAATCTGTAGGTTAGGCTGATTTCCAAAATTAGCTGTTGGCTGTTAGCCAATGAGATGACAGATAGTCAGTACATTATATAATAAAAACAGTTATGCGGACGTTAGTAGACACAGTAAACCGTTTTGCTTGGTCAGTAACCAACGGAAGCTCTAACCTCCGGGTTGTCGGGCTTATTTTTATTATTATTATTTTGTAGATGTTTTTGTTGTTGTGTTTTTTAAGGTCAGTCAGTGTTGAAACATGACAAGAGACGGATACAAGAAGGTTCCTGATGAAGATCACACAGAGAAAGTCAGCTGTCTATCATTCATGTTCTTTCATTGGATGAACAATGTGCTCAAGACAGGCAATGAACGACCAATAGAGCAAAGTGACTTTTTGCCTCTTTCGGAAGAAAACACGTCCTCTTTTCTAATCGAACACCTTAAGAAAGAATGGAACAAGGAAAAAGACAAGTGCAAGGGAGAGAAAAAACGACCAAAACTTTGGAAAAGTGTTCTCAAACTGCTTCCTTTCAAAGAAGTGCTGATTCTAACCGTGAACTACGCTTTGTATTCTCTGTCACGCCTCCTGCAGCCATTGCTTCTCGGATTTTTTTATGGTATCTCTGATGTCACCAGAATTACACTCGGTGTATCTTTTGTATGGTTGTGCCTTAGGCATGGGTATCAATGCTTTGATTGGTTCGCTTGCCATGCACCACTTTGACTACAGAGGTGAAGTGTGGGGACTTCGATTTAGCAGCGCCCTCAAAGGATTAGTTTACCTCAAGGTAAGGATATGACAGTCATTCCCGCCCTTCCCATCTTCTAAGGAAAAAAGCCCTGGGAACGAGGTTGGATTTTTTCCCTACAACGACCTCCACAAGAATAAACCTTTCCTTTAATTTGAATACTTCAGCAGCGACCTTAGCCGCAAGAAACCAAACTTTATTCAGTCACCTCCTAATGATACGTATAAACAGAACATAAAATCCTTTATGTACGTATATAACTATAGATGTCTAAACTGAAAATTTCTTATTATCCACTTCCCTAAGGTCTCTTTAGAGTTATTAATCACATTTCTTTGGGGGACTTTTCGCCAGTCTACTAACGATCAATGAAGTAGTAAGTTATGAATACCCCCCCCCCCCAAATATGAATCTGAATCTGACATCGACAACGGCACCCACCAGGGATTCCGTCCCCGGATATATGTTACTAAAACGGAGAACTGGGAGACTGGAACTAGCACGGGGAACAGGAAAATGAAAAAATGGAAACAAAGTAGAGAGCTGCAAATGAACTTAGTGATAGGGCTGAAGTTCCAGTTAGGTTTTTTTCTCATCCTTCATTTTTGCCGTTTCGCGTGCTCGTTCCCCCCTCCCTGTTCCTTGTTTATTCACATCCCTCTGTCCCCTGCTATTAAAGAAGAGTGTGAAGGTTTTTAGCGCCTGGGGGAGAGCCCTATCTTATTTGGCCTTGGCAGGTACGTGCCGCTAAAGAGAGTTAGTGTTTTAAAGAGGGTGTCGTTTCTGGCCCCGAAGCTTTTAAAAGAGGGGGAATTGGGTTGGCGATGAGCGGTCTATATTTGTGGCACCGACAACAAAAATCTAATTCTATGATCGCAGTTTTTAAACCTAATTCTGTACGCGAAATGAGCCAGTGTCATTTTATGAGCTCTCTTGTCTTAAACAGGAAGCGAAAAACGATTTTTGTGCAAAAAGGGTCATTGTTTGAAGTCCTCGGCGACACTGGTACCCAAAACTCCCTTGAGCGCCGCCCCAGGCTTTTACATTCCACAAAATCTTTTTTATGAGCAAAGGTGGTGAGGAACCTATCGTTTATGGCTTAACCGAGAAGACTGGTAACTCGAACCGTTTGCAGATAACAAAGGCAGCACTTTCTCCTCAGGCATTTTAAAGCCCCGAGCGTTGATCCGGCTGAGTTGTGAACATGCGGCCTCCCTGTTCAGCGGACTTCTATTCTTTTTCATTGGAATTTTAAGACAAATGTTTCACGCGCAGGGCTCCTGTCACGCGTCAGTGTTTAATTGCTAATCTTTTCGATCTTTTATAACAATCAGCTAACGTCTGGTAGTTTATTTCTTTTTCAGACACTCGTTCTCACGAAGAGTGCCTTGCTAAAGTTTTCAACTGGGCACGTAATCGATCTGATATCAAACGATGTGCAACGATTAGAAGAGGAGGCTTTTAAGTTACTATTCTCAAGAGTTTTTACATTTTTCGAGGTCGCCGTAGTCACATTCTGGTTGGTGTACTTCATCGGCTGGCAGTCATTAATGGGTGTTATTTTCCTGGCTTGTCTTTCTCCATATTACGCTCTGCTGTCCGCTGCTGGCTCTGAGTTACGCCTGCGCACAGCCGGGATTTCTGACAAGCGGCTCTCGTGGATGAACCAGGTAGTTTCTGGGATTCGCGCCATTAAAACAAATGCATGGGAGAAGGAATACCGAGATAGCATTAAAAGTACACGAAGGTAGGAAAAAAACAATAAACCTTTTAGCTTGCAAGTTTTGTTTTCCCAATTCAGACCACGTAATGTTCTTGAGGAAATTTACCTTGTCTTTTCATAAATCATGTACAAATATGCACGGTCATCTGCTACACAAAAGTACGTGGCTTTTGTACTAAAAGACAACGCCCTTAAGAAACAATGAGTTCCTCCTCAGACCTTTCTATGTTACGCAAAATCTATGTATATAACATAAAGAATGAAGTAGCTTGAGAACTGACAGCAAACATTTCGTGCGCGATGCCACCACTGGTTTTCCCGCGAAATGAAGTCTGAGGAACGCGGCGGAGCGCAGAAATTCCATACTGATGACGTGTAACTAGTCAGATCTGGGTTGTGTCTGATTGGTTGAAGCAAAATTTCCCACACGGAGCGACCAATCAGAAAAACTATCCAGATCTGGGGTCAATTTCATAAAACTAGTACAAGTGTAATTTACAAGTGTGGCTATTGTTCTCATTCTCTAAAACAATAGCCACACTTGTAAATTATGCATCAGTCAATTCCACCTGCGCCTAGTCCCCCCGCCCCCCCCGGGCTACTGCGGGGCATTTGCCCGCCTTGTCAGTCCCGGGGGTGGGGCATTTGCAAATTTTGCACTGCCCGGGGGCCGGGCATTTGCCAACCCCCGGGCCATTCCCGAGCTTTTGACGCGCACGCGGTTTCCTATCAGAATGTAACCACACAGAAGGTTTTACTGGAAAAAAAGCAGATTGGCTCATCCGTCAAGGACAGGAATAAATTGTAGAGGGTTGTAAAGGCATGTTCTCGATTTTACATGTATGTATGCATTTCTTCATTGCTTATCAAGCCAGAATTACAGAGGGAAATTGGAGCTATCGATGTGAATCAACGTTTTTTGGTTATTGAATCTAATTTCTGTTGATATTATTTGAAGAACACCCTTTCATATTTATAAATCTATTCATAACAGATAACTTTACAGCGCTCTATTAATTTTAATGTCAATAACTTTATATCAATACTAAAACCATAAACTGGTGCATGTCGTCGCGGCCTGAAATCTTAATTAGAATCCTAGCGCTATTACAAAGGAAGACGTTAATTGAAACAAAAAAATCGCACTTTAAAATGGCACTATTGGACTATGCGATCAATAAAACATGTTGCACTGTTGAGGGAGGACGGGGCATTTGCCCTCTTTTTTCTTCCCCACCCCGGGGGAATTGCCAGCTCAAGGGTCCCCACCCCCGGGAATTTGCCATCCGAGGCAAAAAAAATGCTAATTCCCGGGGGTCAGCCCGGGGGGGGCCTGGGCGCAGGTGGAATTGACTGATGCATTACACTTGTAAACGTTTTATTAAACTGGCTCCAGGATAGCAAAAAGTCATCAGTGGAGAATTTATGCGCTCATTTCCAAGACGTTATTTCGCGTGAAAACAACTAGTGGCATCGCGAAGTGTCAGTAGTTTTCTCAGGCTAAGCATGGAGCGCATCTTTTAAAAATCAATATTTTATTTTCAGCCGTGAAATAAGTATTATCCGAAAGAAGAGCATCATTTTGACAAGCCTTGCTGCCTTGGACATGGCTTCAGTGCCAATGGCTGCACTTGTGTCTGTTATTGCAATGGTATTAACTGGGAAACATCTGACACCAGTCAATGTTTTCATGCTTATCTCTTTCATCTATGTATCAAGAGTCACCTGTTCAATTTTACTGGCCAGTGGTTTGCAAGACACATATGACGCGTATGTTTCACTTAACAGAATAGAATATTTTCTTCTGTTACAAGACCCACCTACGGGCACCGCTCCAGCTCTTCAGTTCGCGGATCCCATAAGAAACATGGAGGGGTCCGCAGCGATGTTGAAGAGTTCTTTATGGCAGCATAAGGAAGAAATGAGAGAAAACGAAGAAGATGGCATTGATGAACATAAAAATCGTGACACGATGGATACTTTGATTGTGTCAAGATTAAGTTATGAACAGTCAAAGCGAAAAGATGAATTTATTCTACAAGATATCGAATTTAAGGCAGCTTCAGGGAGCTTAACAGTCATTACCGGGCCAGTAGGTAGCGGAAAGTCTACCCTTCTCTCAGCAATCGCTGGCGAGGTACCAGACAAACAGGGGAACGTAATCTGCAGAGGGACTCTTGTTTACGCACCTCAGATAGCTTGGGTATTCTCGGGAACAATTAGAGAAAACGTTTTGTTTGGCGAACCATACAATGAATCCAAGTACAAAAGAGTCATTGAAGCTTGTGCGCTGAGAGAAGACATTCATCAGTTTCCCGATTGTGATGAAACAATGGTTGGAGAACGCGGTGAATTGTTGAGTGGGGGTCAGCGGGCCCGAGTAAGCTTGGCACGCGCAGTCTATGCTGATGTGGACCTTTACTTGTTCGATGACCCCTTAAGCGCTGTAGATGTCAAGGTTGGTCAACATATTTTTGAAAAATGCTTCAAAGACCTGCTGTGTCAAAAAACCCGTGTGATTGCTTCCCACCAAGAGCAGCTTATGGAAGAGGCTGATAATATAATTGTGTTGTATAAAGGCCGTGTTTTGGGTGAAGGAAGCTTTAATGAGCTAAAAGAAAGAGGAATTCTGAATGAAACTATTGATCCACTCTATACCATGAAAGCAAGCAGTGGCAAGTCAGATCACCACCTTGATGAATGTAATAATGAGGACGATGGTGCATGGGACAAACCTTTCCCACCCCAGGTCAAAAACGAGGCAAAGGGTCTACAGATATCGGAAGAAGATCGCATGATCGGAGTCGTGTCATCCAAGCTTTACTGGAATTACTTCAGAAGCGGGTTGAATTCACTGGCGATAATTTCATTATTCCTACTTCTTCTCATCTCTCAAGGTAAGCGACAGTTTTACAGGTTTAGAGAACGGATTGTATCAACGAAAAGCCCCGACACGTCATATATTTTCATCAATATAATGGTGAGTTAAGTACAAACCTGCTGGAAACTACGCTCTCCTGGAGAGACGACTGGAAGAGAGACCTGCGCTACTAAGTTGCAATATACGCTTTCGCGAGAGCACTGTACGCATGCGTACATTATCACCCCTTACATTATCCGCTGACGCCCCCTAAGAATATCCAGTTTGCATAACCGAGTCTTTCAAACGCACCTTGTAAGCTGCCTTTCATCCGCCCCGATTCTCTTAAAAAATATCAATAACAATAACAGTAACTATAATAACAATAACGATAATGATAATAATAAAATACTGATAGTAATAGTAGTAATAACAATGACAATGATAATAATAAGGAAGAAGAAGGAAATTAAAAAGAATTTTCCCTAGGAGGAATCATTCGAAATCATGGAAGAGAAATGATGATGGGAAAACGCACAATCAGGCGTCAGGTTAACTGATCAATATGAAAGTCAGTTATAAAGTGAAAAGTCCATCCACTGAAATCACACAAACTCTTACGTAGCGCCGAGATAATTGTTGTTTTACTTCTCAAACCCTTTTGCTTTTCTAACTTGACGTTGTCGTCGCCGTCGCCGTCGCCGTCGCCGTCGCCGTCGCAGTTGTTTTAAAACGTGTTTTGGTCTCACTCTTTTCACAGCATTGCTAGTTTCTCCTGACGTATGGCTGTCTATTTTGACGCAGAAAAGTCCAGACGATCAGCGTAACAAGACAAATATAACCATTTACGGTTGTCTGGTCACCGCAGCCTTCATATTTGCCATCATCCGAGCGCAGGTATTCCACCTGGCTTCATTGAGATGCTCAGAACGTCTCCACGACAAAATGGTTGTGGCTGCTCTACAAGCCCCGGTGCTCTTCTTTGACTCCAATCCCGTGGGGAGAATCATGAATCGTTTCTCTAGAGATATAGGTTGTTTGGACGAATTACTGCCTAAAACGTTTCTGCTCTCCATTCAGTATGCTTTGATGATGTCGACAGCAATTCTTGTGCCAGCTGCCACGAATCCTTGGCTTCTACTGGTTTTCGTACCCACCACTTTCCTAGCTGTCTATATTACCAGCTACTACTTGAAGACATCTAGGGAACTGAAAAGACTGGAATCCATTTGTCGCAGTCCGGTTTTATCTCACGTTTCAGAGACCCTGAATGGACTGGACACGATTCGGACAAGGAAAAGACAAGATGACTTTTTGGATCGGTTTCATGGGTGTGTTGAAATCTTTTTTTTATTTTTTTCATTTTTGCATGATATATAGACAAACACCTCGGGAAAACGGACACCTACAGAGTTGGTCCATGCCGCTCTTTACTCCTTTGGTTTGTGACTCTCTAAAAGACGGGCATCACTCCGAGACAGACACTTGATCCTGTTCCCAACGATGTCCGTCTTAGAGAGAGTCACGGCTATCCCAGAAAATATAACTTCTTTCTACTCTCAGGCGCGATTACTCTAACAGTTTTAAGTTTATGTTGCGTTTTTTGAGTTCATAATGAGACACGTTAAATTGAACCAAAATCCTTTTTTGACCGACAAGAAACTCTCAGCAGATTATTCTTCAAGTTACTATGGCATATACACACTCAGTGATATTGGCTGTTTTGAGCAATCTGACTGGTTTACTAGAAAAATTGAGCATCATTCACTACCTAGCGAGTGGAAAATGCATGATCTTCAAAACAGAAACAAAATGAATTGAATGAAAGAAGATCAGAAATAAGTTAAGGAGCTTTTAACCGTTTTATGATGACGTTAAGATAAATAAGTGTGTTCTACTTTTCAAGGCATTGCAAGGCGAATCGCACATGTATATCAATGATCTCTCCCGTACAAGCCTGAAAATTTTTTTCAGGCTTTCTTTTCGCAACTGCAAAAGTTGCGTATACAGCTATTTTGAGAAAGGTTGTTGGAAAAAGTGTGCACGCAACAATCCCGAAAGGTAATATGGGATATGATCGATACACTGTTGCTGGCGACTGTAGCTGTCGAACCTACTTTTGTTGCTTTCCTTTAGCACTCGCAAACACATTTCCATGGCCTTTCGTGCCAATTCTTTCTGAAGAACAGTGAACTTAAAAACCACCCACAATGCCTTTCGGGATTGTCGCGTGCACTTTTTCCGACAACCTTTCTCGAAAAAGCTGTATAACTACTATGATCATCCTTCATTCAATTCTTCACTCCGCATTTCAAGTATATGATTTTCATATATTCAAAACTTGATCTCTTAACTGTTACTAACAAATCAATGCACGTTAGAGAGATGAAACATGGCCAATATAATTCGTATGCCCAACGTTTCGACACATCACCAAAGCGGTAAGGTCTTTTAGTGTCAGTAGCATACGGTTGTGGAACAGTCTGCCTGATGATATTAAAAGGAAAAACAGTCTTTCATCTTTTAAGAATGCTTTGATAGCTTATTTTAGAGATTCTTATATTGATATTGATAATTTTGAAGCCTTATTGTAAATATATCTTTGTATTGTTAGGTTAGTTAATTTAGTTGAAGGCCAATGGCTTATCAGCTTCTGCTGTTATGTGATAACTTATTTTAATGATTCTTATATTGATATTACCAATTTTTAAGCACTATTGTAAATATATATCTGTAATTTTTAGGCTAGTTAGTTTAGTTGGAGGGTCACTGGTTTATCAGCTTCTGCTGTTATGTGTTTACCCTTATTTTAAAATAAAGTTGATAGTTATTAGACTTTAACATGAATAAAAACAACAGGCCAACCAACCTCTGATGAGGAAGTAATTTTGCGAAATAATTTCCCTACCGTCGGCTAGAAACGGGCAAATTAGAAATCATGTTGCATTCTCATGAAGAAAACAAGAATTTCTTTGGGAATATAATAAAATTTCTTTCGTTTTACTTCCTCAGGTATCAAGATGTATACAGTCAGGTATATATTATGGTGAAGGCGAGTGCTCGGTGGCTTGGTGTTCATATGGATCTTCTCTCTGCTATATTAATTGGCACAGTGGCAGTAGCTGCCGCTCTGGTTTCTCAAGATGCTGGTACGTGAACCAATATCCAGTCATAAGATTGTTTCAACATTGTGAAAGAGAACTTTAAGTTAAATACACTTTTTCGCGTTCTTATATACAGTGGAATCTCGATTTTTCGAACCACCTTTGGAATAGCGTTGAAATTGGTGTGATTGGGCCTTGTCCGGTCCACATAAAATCAATTTGAGCCTTGCTCCGCTACTCCCTTGAATACCGAAAAACCCAAACTTAAGAGAAATGAAAGGTTTTTCTCTTTTGGCTCATCACAAAGCTGAATTTTGCAAAACGGAAACAAAATCGAAATTATTTTTAACCAAATTGAACCATTTTCAACAATCACAAGGCCAAGTAAACAAGAACAAAACAAATGTTTCTCTTCCCGCCCACTTCATTTTTTGGGTCCGCCTCTCTTTTTTATTATTTGTTATTGGAAAAGTTGGAACACACAAAAACCAATAGCGGCGGTATGCCAAAAGAGGAGATACAAGCCAAAGAAAAAAACCAAGAAACTTTCAGACAGGCTAAATGATAAAGCCAAGCATTCATTACACACTGCGTCCTATTCACGTTTTTAATGCAACCTACATAACGAGATATAAGGTACGACACATCAAGTTGTTGTTTAAAACTTGTACCCTAGAAACCAAATTTGTGTTTTAGCAATATCTGACGTTTCATTCAATCCCGACATTAATATTTGTCCGAAGAACTCCATCTTATCCCTGGGAGAAGGCAATAATAATTTGTAAAGAAAGCATTAAATTTAAAAGTAAATAAAAGTCAGAAATAACAAAAAAGATCCCGCCTGCTCTCTTTTTCGAAGAAAGCCGGACGAGAAACAGTTGCCGTTTTTTTTTTTGCTTGGCCTAACAAGAACAAAAACTACTATTAATAGTAGCAGTATTTAGTACGGTTTTTAATACCAAAAGCGGTAGGACGCAAAATTAATAAGGTCGGCTGTAACAAAAACTGATAAACACGTTAAATATTCTTTTTCTTTTCCAATTAGCATTTGCTGGTCTAGCCCTTGTTTACGTTATTCAAAGTTCAGTTGTCACACAATACGCCGTCAGGAAAGCCTCAGAAGTCGAGAATTTAATGACATCAGTTGAACGAGTTATCACGTATACCAAACTTGAGTCTGAGCCTGGATACAAAGTGAAACGACTTCCCCCGGAAAATTGGCCAAGTGAAGGAAATATCACATTCCATGACGTATCACTGACGTATTATCCGGGGGGTCCTCAAGTACTGAAGAAAATCAACCTCACAATCAAAGGAGGAGAAAAGATTGGTATCGCTGGTCGAACGGGCGCAGGAAAATCTTCATTTGTCGCTTCTCTAATGCGCATGCCCGAAGCCGATGGAGGGATAACGGTCGATGAAGTTCGAATAAAGGACATAAACCTCTGCGAAACACGACGCTCAATATCAATTCTAGGCCAAAGTCCTGTTCTTTTTAGTGGATCACTCAGAAAAAACCTCGATCTTATGGAGCAGTTTCAAGACGCAGAATTGTGGTGCGCTCTCGAAGATGTACAGCTGAAAGATTTAGTGGAAAGCCTAGAGGGGCAGCTAAATCATGAGTTATTGGAGTACGGAGGAAATGTCAGTGTAGGAGAACGCCAACTGATCTGTTTGGCTCGATTGTTGCTACAGCAAAACAAGATCATTATTTTGGATGAGCCGACTGCACATGTTGATCCAGACACAGAACAAACCATCTGGAAGGTAGTTCATGAGAAGCTGAAGGACTCCACAATCATCACTATAGCTCATCGTTTAAACACGATAAGAGACTGTGACAAGATACTGGTATTAAAGGACGGACAAGTTAAGGAATTTGACGGGTTTGATAGGTTATTGAATACAAAAGGAAGCGTCCTGCGAGAAATGGTTGAAAAGTTAGGAGTGTGATTTGCATTTTTACCATTAGGTATCATCAGTGCGAATGTTGGTAATGCGGAAAATATTGGATTAAGAAACCACGGGAACGGGAGATAACCCGGTTAATTTTTTTAGTACGATCGCAGCCAATATTGTCAAACAATATACAGCGAGTTTTCTAATATGTAGCTGTTTTATAGCCAGATATTTGGCACAGATAAGAAACTCCGAAATTTTTACCTGAAATGGGTCAGGCTTTCAGATAGAACTTAGACGCGCGTATGATATGATGAAGAGCTTCGATTTTGTCCGGGATTGATTGTTGGGGCCGTTTTCTAATAACGCAAGGGTGAAAGGAAACCTGGACGCGTGTTTCTCCAAAGGGAAAAAAATCAACACCCAAAAGTACCGTTTCTTTCTTTTTACAAAAACAGTTTTCATCAGCGCATAGTTAAAATACACATTGTTACTTAATTACGTAATGTGATTTATCAATCTGTACTATTGGAAAAAGTGTTATTTATTACAAAATCCAGTCATCGACTTTAAAGTTCATTCTATCTCTTTATGCACATTCAAAATATCTCAAAATGGACACCATCATTTTAATAATAAAAAAAAATCTTGCAGTCCTGTACATTTCCTCTGTACGAGGGAGTTACTAGACTTACTAGAAAGTCAACACATAATCTCCCTGTAAGAAACAGGTTCAACATGAGCTCAGCGAAGAGTTCCAAACTAGCAGACTGCTTTCAGCTATGGCTGAGAAAACAGTCAGAATGGTGATGAGCAAGGCATGTTCAGTTTGTCCAACAGGCACTTGAAAAACAAGGAGATTCTCCTACATAACATACGACAAAAATTCTTAATAACAATACCAACATAATGTTCTAAGAAATCAGTGTCGCCAGAAAAACACTAGCCTGGGAAAAACAGACAACATTTCGAGACGCCACCCCTGGTTTCCCCGCGAAATGACGTCTGAGAAACGAGCAAAGAAAGTCCACATTGATAACGCGTCAGTGCTTCTGATTGGTCGTGACACAACATCAGTACAGAATTTTATAAGATTTTGACATAACAGTTGAACTTTTTTTCAAAGGATAGATCAAATTTGGAGGGTTGAGGATGAATGTCGTCGGTCACGGATAAAAATGGTGTAGGTATGATAAAGTGTTGCGGAAAAGTTAAAGGGAAATTTTCTGAGCCTTCTGCCCTAACAGTTTTTTCGTTAATCACCAAGGTCTATTGTTAGACTTAATAATACATGGTAGTCCGAACATCCCTCAACATTTCTTCAAGAATTTATAAAGTGCAAAAGAGTTTGAAATGTCAAAACGGCAATGGTGTCACGGTGTTGTGGTGGAAACGCAGATCTTAAAAGAAGACCTTTTTTTGGAACCTTCCATCCATATCTCACCAGTGGGCACGTTTTGACTCCCCGCTTATAATTTATTTCATGTATCTTGTGTTCAAAGTGGGAGGGGATGGTCACCTTAACCCTTTAAGTCCCATGGTGACCAACATCAATTTCCTCCTAACTATATTGATACATGATCAAGAGAAAAGGTTAGAGGAATTAAGACAATGATGCACAAAGGAGAAATGCTTTGATCTTTTATCAGGTTCTCTCAACTACTTCTACAAGGCAATTTATGGACACTAGTGTGGAGAATTTGTATTTGGATGTTGGCGCTTAAAGGGTACATTAACCGTTGCTGCATTCTTTTACTATAATGCCAAGAGAACTATCTTACTACCAGCTGAAAGCAATGTTCGAATTGCAAATCAGGGAAAGTTTTTTGAGCCTCCTCCATAGTCTGTTTAAATTACAGGAACCCAGGCTAACATGTACATGTATAAGCAGATTAGTCACTGAATGGGGAAGAATGGGCTATTGAAAATAATAATCCACATCCTCATGCGTACACACCCGTGCATCTCGCTTTAAATAATTATGATAATAGTTATTGAAATAATGCTCATCATAATAAAAAAAATACCTCATTAACTTGAGTAAGTGTGATCCAGTTGCAGTATCTGGATGATTTTCTTGCATTACAAGGAGCCTTGATCATTTCACTTGCACAGTGTGTTGCAAAATTGTCCATTCCTGTAGTACAGAATGCAGAAATAAAATCACTGGAATTATAATGAAAGTAGTGAGGTCTCTTCATGAAGTTGAAAGGTTAAGTTCCAACCCAAATTATTGTGTTTCAGATTTGTGTTTACCCTTTAAGCCCAATATTCAAAATATAATAATTCTCCCGCCTGTTCTCAGAATGCATTCTTCAGGCACACATTGTACAGTCATACGTTCTTCACTACATAGAAAGCAACTTTTTAGATTCATTTGAATTATAATACACTTACCATGATTACATTTTCCAAGAATTGTTGGAGGGGAGAGTGAAACAGGGACAAATTTTTCTTTTTTAGCAGCTTTGTGGTACCTCAGATGAATTGGTATGCTAATATTCACATTTATGGATCCCAGTCTGTGCACAAAAAATGAAAATAATAATAACTGTCGATGTCCTCTGTATATTTCTGGATATTCTTATTCCAGCAAAAATACTTTTTGTGTCTATTACATCATTGTTTTATTATATTTTACAAAGGGGAGGGGGGACCTGGCCCCCCAGCCCCTCCCCCTGAGGGGTCCTGGTTGTGTCTTTCACTGTGAGGATCTTCTTTACATTTAGAATAAGACTATTCTACCCCAGATTTTTTAAAAATAATAATAATACAAGAATTTACATAGCGCCATTTCCGTGAGCTCAATGGCACTAAAAATAAAAAACATTTGAGTTATTAAAGAAAATATATAACAGTTGTAGAAATTAATTTCTAAAAAATAAGAGACATTTGACTTGCTAAGATTAACTAAGGAAAATATATATGTTGCAGGTATTTTTTTCCTTAGGTAAATTTAATTTTTCACTAGGTACAATTTTTTAACCTAGGTAATTTTGCATCACAATATTTTTTTCATTTGCTATGGGGTAATTGTCTCTTTTTTTATTCATAACTAAGATAGAGATATTGGGTTTTACCAAGATAAGGATAAAACAATCTGACGGAGCAAGATTTCACTGCCACCGCAACTCACCCACCCTCTAATTTAAACACTCATAAAGAAACTGGAGATTATGGCTCAAGGACATAAGGCAATCAGTAGCCAATGAGTCAACTCATGACCTACCTTGAGTTCACCACTGCTTTAGGAAATAAAAAGACCTTGTGTGGAGACGAATGATGTGCCATCACCTCAGTATTTATCGCCTCTGTGATTAAAACCTGAAAAATATATAACAAGCAACCTCACCATGACCCCAACACCAGTAGAAAATCAAAATAATTATAGGCTTACAAATTAAAAAAAGTTAGATTATTAATAACTGATAAATGATGTTTAATAGTAATTTTCATTAATTGTTAGAAATTTTCTGAGCTATTTCTGACCTCAGGACCACCAAACTCCTCTTCATTCTTGATCTGATCTGGATCCACATACACACCACTTGGAAAGTATTCCACTAACAATAACTGGCAATCCTGAAGATCAGAATGACTGCTGCCTGAAACTGTCCACTTCACATAGGTAGTAAGGTCTCTAATGCAGGGAACAAACATCATGATATATAGTTCATGAAAGCCAATGATAGTTTCAACTATCATTTACTATGAATTGCTATTAATTGGATCAAGATATGGTGTAGAAGAGCTCATGACAGTCAGAACCAGAAATTCCTTGTTTGCTCTTGGGAGCTCTAGTCCCCGTCCCCAAGCTTCGCATCTAGGAAAATGTTAACAGATGTCATAATATCCACTTAGGGTCATGTTGGTCAAATAGCCTAAACTCAGCTTGATCATGGCTTTTTTGTAGAAAAAAGAAGAGCTGTTTTTCTCTTCAAGTTTGTTGACTTTCTGGGGAGGATAATGATTATTTTTGATATTTATTTAATTTGTTTTTAGCTCCATATTTCTGTATTCCTGTCTTTTTTAGCAATTTGATGTGTCTCATTACCTGACTTGCTTAATACTCCCTCTGCACTTAACAACACTGCTCCATCTTTCTTTTCTGCCATTTTGTGCGCAAAAGGTCATGCTAAGCCCATCAGGTAAGACATGAAACAGCTAACTGACAAACTAAATTAAACATCTTATCGCAGCCGAAAGCGAAACATTTTTAACAACTATCATGTGATACTTAAACATAATCAAAGCATGCGATAGTCAATGATAGTTGATGATAGTTGAACCTATCATTAAGAATCTTGCCAAATCACCAAATTTTTGTATACAGTTATACGGAAAGACTTTAGAAAGAGTAGCTAAATTTAGCTATTTAGGTGTTGTTTTAGATGAGAACCTTTCTTGGAAAGATCACTTCGAGTATGTAAGCAGCAAAGTCAGTAGGAGGCATGCATAGTTCACAGTTTGAGCAGATAGAGTATAAATCAGTAAGCACAAATTTACCTATGGAATCCCGGCTTGTTTCGACCTCTCTGTACGACCACGTTTCCACATGAGCCTTTCTTTTCTTCATAGGAAAGACAAAATTTAAAACATACTAAAAGTAAGGTACAGAAGATAACTATCAAATTGGTTTTTCTAACGCGACTACAATCGAATTTTAGAGACATCAGACTGGAAGGAAAGAAAGGAGATTCCCTGAGATTCCCTTGAGGCGCGCGCTAGTGCGCGACGCATAACTTACCACAAGGAATTCTCTGACCAACTCTGCGGGCTCGCAAACCACATGCCAAAAAGGCGGACCTGCGAGAGGGTATATACTTCATGGTGGAAAGCCACAAGTGCACCGGTAATATACACTCTGTGTAGTATGTAGTATTGTGTCTTCTCCCCAATAGCTAGTGGTAGTTACTAGTAGTTACTAGTAGTTACTAGTAGTTAATGGTAGTTATTAGTAGTTACTGGTAGTTACTAGTAGTTGTCGGTAGTTACTAGTAGTTACTAGTAGTTACTAGTAGTTAATGGTAGTTATTAGTAGTTACTGGTAGTTA